AAGACAATGGCTTTGAAGAACTCAGAGGAGTTCTACAAGCTATCACCCCATCTACTTATCTATCCACCAGTATATCTTTGGATTTTTCCCATTAAAATGGGAGGACTATCATGTACTCAACTCATGCACTAATTCTCATCTCCTCTTGCTTCCTCAAGAATATCAATTTTTAGCAGATATCTCCTGCATCAGCAGTTTTTCCCTCCCTGATGTACCATTTCCATCAGTATCTGTTGTGGGTTGAATGATGCCATCCAGACAGATATGTCCATATCCTAATACCCAGACACTGAGAATGTTACTTTATTTGGAAAAAGAGTCTAAGCTGATGTAATTAAGTTAGGGATCTTCACCTGAAAGCATCATGGGTTCACCAGATATGCCCTAAATCCAATGGCAAGTTTTCTGAAGACAGGATGTAGATACAGGAATGGGAACAGGCAATATGACCAGGGAGGCAGAGATTGGAGTAACAGAGCCAAGGAGGCCAAGGAACACCTAGAGCCACCAAAAGCTGGAAGAAGTGGGGGAAGGATTTTCCCCAGAACCTCCCAAGGTAGTACAGTTCTGTTAACACCTTGATTTCAGACTTCTGGCCTCCAGAACCATGAGAGGACAAATTTCTGTATGTTTTAGACCACCCTGTTTGTGACTATTTGTCTCAGAAGCTAAGGGAAATGAATATAGTATCCAGATATGTTATTTATTTCTCCCATGAAAAAAATACAAAAATGACAAACTTTATCTTAGCCCATTTTCTGTTATAGTTACTATGCCATTTTCTTTCCTTTTACTATGAACGCCCTTGAAAGAATTGTCTCTACTTGGTACTTCTAATTTCTTTCTTCTCTTTTTTCTAATGAACCCATTCCAATAAGGTTCCCACCCCCACCCCCATATCACTACAAAGAAACTGTTCTTATTGAAGTTACCAAAGACCTCATAATAGATTCTAAATCCAATTTTCATTTCTCAGCCCTTATCTTTCTTGACCTATGAGTAGTAGCCTTTGACAAAGAGGATCGCTCTCTCTTCCCTTAAATAATTTTTCCACTTACTTCCAGGGGATCTCACTCACCTGTTTTCCATCAACCTTACTCTTGCTGCTTACTTCCCATCACCGCAACATCTACAATTTAAATTTCTCTAAGACTTACTCTTTGAATTTCATCTTAAATATTAATATAACTCTTTGGGTAATTTCACCCAATTTTGCAGTTTTAAAAAATACCTATATGCTGATTTCTAATTTATATTTCTATTCCAGTCCTCTACTCTGTACTTCAAATCCATATATTAAACTTTTTACTTAATACCTGTACTCAGAAGTGTAATAATTATGCTAACTGTAACATGTCCAAAGCTGAGTTCTAATATTCATTCTTAATTTCTTCTTACCTCCTAATAGTCTACATCTTAGCTAATGGCAACTTTATTTTTCCAGTTATGTAGGCCAAAATATTTAAGTCATTTTTGAATGTTTTTAAAGGTTTATTATTATTGAGAGACAGTGAGAGATAAAGCATGAGCATGGGAGGGGCAGAGAAAGGAGGAGACACAGAATCTGAAGCAGGCTCCAGGCTCTGAGCTGTCAGCACACACAGACCCCAACGCGGGGCTTGAACCCACAAACTGTGAGACCATGATCTGAGCCCAAGTCGGACGCCTAGCTGACTGAGCTATGCAGGTGCCCCTATTTAAGTCATTTTTGACTCACCTTTTACTTGCTCCTCAAACCCAGGAACTGATAGCACTTAACAGTTCTTCAAATGAACTTCAAATGAATAAGCTCACTTTTCACATTACAACTGCCAATATTCTGATCCAAGCTAACAACTTCTCTTATGTGGATTACTGAGATAGCCTTCTAAATTGTCTTTCATCTTCTGCCTTTTTCAGTGTCCTCTAAAAATGGCAGACACTGTGATACCATTTAAATATAAGATAGCTAATGTTATGTCTCTGCTCAAAACCATCCCACATCTTCCCACATCACTCAAAGGAAGGAACAGATTTCTTCAATGACTTTGGAGTACCTACATGATTTTCCTGCTGCCTCTTACTTCTGGGATCCCATCTCCTACTCCTGTCTCTCTTGCTTACTCCCCTAAACTGTGATTATTTCATAGTATATCAAACAAACCATGCACACTCCAACCACTGAGAGTTTCTTTCATACCTCTTCTTCCCTTCCCTTCCCTCCCCTCCCCTCCCCCCCCCTCCCCTCCCCTCTCCTCTCCTCTCTTTTCCTTCCTCCTCTCCCTTCTCTTTCTTCTTCTCTCTTCTCTTCTCTTCTCCTCAGTTGTTCATCTCCATATTAGTTCTTTATAAAAGGCACTTTCTCATACAGAGCTACTGTGGGGTCCTTGTCTAAAATTTCAGCTCTCCTTCCTGCATTGTTTTTCCTTCTTAGCACATATCAGCATCTAACATTCTATATATTTAAAATTTTTATATTGTTTATTGTTTGTCCTTATCATAGCTTTTAAAATTCACGAGGTCAGTGATATCTGCCAGTTATTTTTACTTTTGTATCCCCATTACGTGGTATGTTGTAGGTACATAATTAATAGCTACTGAATGACTAAATACAGTGATAGAAAACATTAGCCTTGAGAGGTGAAATATCACAGACTAAAACATCAAAACAAAGTCACCTTATTTACACCCTTTTGTAATTTCTGGCAATAATAAGAGATTCTCAGGAGATGCAAATATTACAGATAACATTTAGGTAAATTCAACTGATATTTTAGATTAAGCATTTAATGCCATATACTATTTAGATCCCCAGTATTCATTTATAACAATCTACTTCATTTTGACTCAGGATTTTATATTTTTCTAAAATAATTAGTATTAACTCCATGCCAGAACATACCATACTGTATAGTAGACAATTGAAACATTTCTAATAAAACATTTTTCAATGTTTGTCACTTTTTTGAACTGCTAAAATTATTATGATTAATGCTTATTACTTTCTATCAGAAAATATATAATATTTCTTTCTCTTTAACAAAAGTACAAACAATATGCTCATATTAATGATTTTACCTAAATCATGCTACAAACAAAAGATATCTTTCTTTTAAAGATTTTAGGAGAAAAATATTTCTATAGCCCTCCTGATGATAATTATGTTTTAATATTAGCATCAGTGTCCTATATCATTAACAACTGCCTCTGGTGTCAGTTGAGGTCTCTTCCCAAGAGCTATACTTGAATTATTTTATCACGTAATAATTTGTATCAAAATATTTCATTAGATACCACCACTTTCTTATTATACACTATAACTAATTCTAAAGAAGAAATACTGTAAAGAACTGGGGAAATCTCTGAATGTTAATATATCTCGATTCTAGTTTAGATTCTTTCAGTAACTAGTTCTGAAACTAGTCATGATCTCACAGTTTGGGTTAGAGCTCCACGTTGGGCTCTGTGCTGACAGCTCAGAGCATGGAGCCTGCTTCGGATTCTGTGTCTCCCTCTCTCTCTGTCCCTTCCCCTACTCGCTCTCTCTCTCTTTCTCAAAAATAAGTGAACATAAAAAAAAGGAAAGAAAGAAAGGAAGAAAGAAAAGAAAGAAAGAAAGAAAGAAAGAAAGAAAGAAAAGAAAGAAAAAGAAAGAAAGAAAGAAAGAAAGAAAGAAAGAAAGAAAGAAAGAAAAAGAAAGAAAGAAAGAAAAGAAAGAACAGGGGGAAAAAGGAAGTACCTAAAGACAAATACAATTATCTGGAGAAAGTATGCGTTTTATAGATTCAATGCACTTATTGTAGAGATAGTCACCCTCAGTTTTTTAGTTTTTATTAATTTTGTTAATAGGTACTTAGTTTTGGCGGTACCTGGGTAGCTTAGTTGGTTAAGCATCCAACTTCGCTCAGGTCATGATCTCTCAGTTCCTGGGTTCGAGGCTGCGTCAGGTTCTGTGCTGAAAGCCCAGACCCTGGAGCCTGCTTCTAATTCTGTGTATCCCTCTCTCTGTCTGCCCCTCCCCCACACTCTCTCTCTCTCTCTCTCTCTCTCTCTCTCTCTCTCTTTATCTCTCTGTCTCTCAAAAAATGAATAAACGAAAAAAAATAAAATAATAAAAATAATTACTTAGTTTTTCATGGAACAAATATTTGAGGAAAGCTTGGATACTTGTCATGCAGGAAGCATTCTGCTTGACCTCAAAGGTGCAACAATGGAATGGATAGACATGGTCAGTGCTTCGAATATTCCAGTGTCTTTACAACATGAAATTAATTAAAAAAAAAATTAAAAAGGAGAGAGAAAGAAAGAGACAAAGAGAAAATATTCTTCATTCTCTCTCTCTTACTACTGGAGTTTTCTTAGATAAAGGAGAAAATAAACCATCCACTATTAAAGAGTTAAGGGTTTGGATCTATATAGAAATTAAGCAGTTCCTTCAGGAAAACAATACTATCATGGCCTCTGAGCCACCTAGATCTGACTTCTGTTCCTGATGTTTCTTTAATGATTTTTTACATAAATGTTTTATTTTAGAATAGCTGTGGACTTATGGAAAAATTGCAAAGATGGTACAAAGAAATGTCATGTACTCCACACTCAGTTTCCCCATTATTAACATTTATATTAGTATTGTATATATGGTACATTTCTCATAATTAATGAACCAATATTGATACTACACATTAACTAAAGTCACTACTTAATTCAGATATTTTTAGTTTTGCCCTGACCTCCTTTTTTTTTTTTCTAGGATGAAGGACACAACACTACATTTAATTCTCATGCCTATTCAGGCAATCTTCTTTCCTTTGCAGAGGACTCCTTTGTTAGAGAGAGGGCTCAGGGTATATTTCACAATGATTACTCTTACCCTTCTGTTGGAAAACATGTACATGAGAACCAGGTTGGTTTCTTGAGTGTGTTACCTCCCACAAAGCAGTCCCAGGATTTTCTCACTCTTAAACTAATGTCAAGCACTCAGCCTCGTGCATTTATGGAAAATCAACGTTGAACATTCTTACCAGTTCATGACTTCAGCAGCTTCTACTCCTGGTAGGCAGATCTTGACAGTGACTTCAAGGATTTGCCTGTCTCTCCAAATTTCAGGGTGTCAGTTTGCTCTGCAACCTCAATTTTCATATGGGTCAAGGAGAAAGTGATCGTTTTTCAATTTGTAAGAATAGAAGTGACAACATCCCAACTGTTTACATGATGTAGCTGATATCATGTCTTTGATTGTATGCAGTGTCAAGGCTAAATATGTTTTGCTGACTTTTATAATTCTTAAAGATACATCCTAGAGGTGATGGTTGTAAGAAACACTTAAACTTTAGCTTCCTTCTTGTAGGAACATTTACTTCTTTTCTGCTGTTTAAAGTAGCATTAGTTTCTTAAAAGACTTCTGCTAAGGAGAGTCATTCTATTAGTAGCTATTAATGAAAAGTCATATCTAGATTGATGATATATGTATAAATAAGCAGAGAAAAGAATGCTCTAGTTTTTTGAAAAGAATAAGCAAAGAGTATGTTATTCCTGTATGGGGGGGGGAATGGGGTACAGAAATGCTTTTTTCTCTTTTTACAACCATTCTTTCATTGAGAAGATGTTTATGAATCTGGAAGGACAAGGAAAAGAACTCTATTTTTGCTGAAAGTGCACAGACTTAAGAATTCTGCAGCTTAAATTTCCCAATTTTATGTGTGAGATGAAGGTTTCAGCTTTATCCTCTGTATACTGTGGATGATAGTTGTACCCCACAGCCTTCTTGTGATTAGATTACGAAATGGTCGATAGCTCTAGAATCGGTACACGTAGCTGGTACTCAACAATCATTAGTTTCTCCTCTTTTTTTTTTTTTTTTAATTCAGTTGGTTACCCTTTCCATCCTATTTCACATCTTTCTGAAGGGACATGAGTTCTTACCGTCTCACTTGACCTTTAATTTGCCCTTGTGAAGAAGGCAAAGTTTGCCAATAGGGAAATGATACTATTTTGAGTTATTTTTATAGTCTGACAACTATGCTACTGACTTAATATTCATTATCTTATTTACTCTCACAATATTCCATGTTTATTTTTTGCAGTTTTGGGTCAAAAGACCAAGAAATGTTACCTGTTTGTCTATGATCACATATCTAAAAAGTGGCTAAACCAGAATTGCAATCAAGTTCTATCAGAAAACAATAATTATGGTTTCATAAACAATCTAAAATTTCATAATAAATCTCTCATATATTAATGATGTCCATTTTCATGAAATGGACAAAGAAAGCCAGACTTGCCTGAAACATGAAGACAGAGAATTATATTTTCTGAGCCCAGATAACAGGCAAATGCAAACTCAAGAAAAAATTTGAACAAAGTACATTTTGCCTAATGCAATTGTTGTGAACAAGTGAAGAAGAAAAAACTGAAACTTGAAAAAGAAGCTGATTGCATTTTTCGTCAGTGACATCTTCATAAACAATTGAACAGAATTATCTTCAATGGCACCTGGGAAGTAAATTTCTGAAACAAAATTGTAGAGTCTCCATATAATGTGATCTTCCAAAATGTCTGACCTTCCCGAGCTAGCATTGAGACTAAGCTTAGTCAGCTTATAGGCTGCTGATTCGGTAAGCCTTTTTAAACTAACAGAAAACTAAAATGATAGCTTAAAACTATCTAGATACGCAATGACTATGAGATTAGCAGTTTTCTTCTAACAGGTTAGTTATAGTTGGATTTGACATTTAGCTAATACCTCTTCTTTCATCCAACTGTAATTAACACTTGATCTGTAGTCTTAATACATGTACCACAGATGCCACAAGGCCAGAGTGGAACTTTGTGGATTGATGGATGACCTGCCAATGGAACATCTTATTTTAATGACGATAGGCCTAAGTAAGCTTTCTTTTATCCTGTCTTACTGGACTTATTGGGATGTGTATTTTGCAACTTGGCTACATTGAAGTTCGAATTCTCCTACCCTGAGGTACTATATATTTTAGCCAGTTATTTAATCTCTTCAAGTTCCATGGATTTCTGAAAATTTGAGTAAGATAACATTTTCAGGTCTATTAGAATGTAATAAGACTTGATTTTCTCTTATATGAGAAGTTAAAAAAAATAATCTTGGGGCCTGTGCTTTTCATTAGATTGCAGAAATTTTCTTTTGAAAAACCCAAGTTTTGTGACAGAGATGAGATTAATGTCATAAGCACTAAAAGCACACAGACTCCAAAGTGTTTAAATCCGGGTCCGTCCCTTATAAACTCTATGTCAGTGGAAAGTTGTTCTAACCCCAGTGAACTTCAATTTCTTCACCTGTGAAATAGAGATAAAAGCATCTTTCTTATATGGTTATTGTGAGGAATGTTTTGGGCTTTTTTTTTTTTTATTTTTTTTCAACGTTTTTATTTATTTATGGGACAGACAGAGACAGAGCATGAAAGGGGGAGGGGCAGAGAGAGAGGGAGACACAGAATCGGAAACAGGCTCCAGGCTCCGAGCCATCAGCCCAGAGCCTGACGCGGGGCTCGAACTCACAGACCGTGAGATCGTGACCTGGCTGAAGTCGGACGCTTAACCGACTGCGCCACCCAGGCGCCCTGGGCTTTTTTTTTAATGTGTGTAAATCATTTGTACTTATTAAACCATGACCAGTATTATTATTCAATTAAAACGAAACAGCTTTCTTCTATCCTTACTATTGCTAAGAGCACCAATGTAATTCTATTATTCTCTTATGATATAATGGGAAAGAATGCAGTATTCTGATTTCAAATATCTACAGAGGCAAGCAATATAAATCGGGTGAATCTGAAGTGCAAAATGATATAAACAGAGATGAAGAATGTGTAAACTGGAAAGTGTATGCCCATTGAGAATCTTTTCCAATTGAAAAAGTTTTAAATGCTACTTTGACCAAACAAATGAAATCTGTAGGATTAATCTGGCCCATTGTTCCCATTGTAAGTGGCTTAACATGTTGCATAAGGGAGTTGGAGTGTAAAACAAATAACTTTGTCCTCTATAGCATTTTATTTTCCTTTTTGGCCCAGGGAAAATGCTTCCATGTGTTAGAACTTATATTGTATATTCTTCAAAGATGTGTGGCCCTAGAGGTTGTAAAATAATTTCAGAAATCACACATATAGTGATTCTAAATCCACATAATAACTTTTAGAATAACTGTTGTTGGTAGGTGACTTATACCATTTTTTTTTCTGCAGTGGGAATTAAAAACAAAACAAACATATGAGAAATCCATATACTAGTAACTTCAAAGAATTATTTGTAAGGTTCTTTGAGGTCAACCCTAATTCAAGACCAAGGAAAAAGCGTGGAAAGCAGCAGAAAGACATGCCTGTCCTGTGATGAGGACACATCATGCTCCATATACTACTCAAATATCAAAAGTAGGTTATCTATTAAAATACAATTTTTGATGTTGCCTTTATTATAGGAAAATGAGTTTGTCCCTAGTGTTTTCTTAAACTGATCCATTTCTAATTTAATCAACTCCCAGGTAACTTTTCCTTCTACTGGATAAACCTGGAAGTTTTTTAATCTTCAATCAGTCTTTTGTTTCATACAGTGGGTAAGTTGAGAGCTGTGGGGGGAGATCTCGCAACTCAAAAACTAGCCCCTCAGTGTGGCCCAGGAGCTCTTCCATAGTTTCTTTGCCATTATATCCAAAACCCTTTTCAAAACCTCTCTGCTCTCATCAAATCTCCAAACCCATTGCTCTACTCTGACTTAAGATTTTCACCTTCTACTTCACAATGAAAAAAGAAGTACTAAGAATAGTCAATTCCATTCACCCTTAATTAGGAGAATTCATGGAGCTCCTTCTTCCCACCTGACGTATCCTCCAACTCACCTCACGACATAAACAACCCAACAAAAACAACTAACAATAAAGAAGGGCTCTGGTTTCTAAATAAACTGGTCATATTTGCAAATTGTGTAAAATGCCTCTTATTAGACATTACCCTTGTCCTATCTGTCCCTTGCATTTGACAAGTAATTCATCTTGTTTCTCTAATATCTTCTGTGCTTCTCTCAATCATGGTGCCTCATAAATGCTTGACTGAAATGATTACTATTCAAGTATAAACACCAGAAATACTTAGATACATTTTGAAGGATAAAAATTTACAAGAATCTTTAGTCATAATTCTCTGAAAATGACTTGAAAAAGAATATTCTGAAGTTTAAATCTAAACTGGGTAGCTTAGAATTAAAACAGCGCATGTCCCCTTAGACATAAAGGAGATGCAATAGCTACTCAATTGTAGAAAAGACTGTACTAAAGATGAAAGAAAAATTGAATTAGGTTGTCTGTCTTTGTCCAGTTGAGTTACTTTTTTTTTTTTTTTTTTTTTTTTTTTACTTTACTTACTCTTTCTCAATTACATGGGGAGAATTACTCTTTCTTCAATTACAGTAACAAAACCTCCACTTCCACAAATTCCTTCTGAATTCTGCCATTTTTGCTCTGGGTAGCAATCAGAAAAACAAACAAACAAACAAACAAAACACTAGGCAGTTTTCACAACAGGAACATTATTATTCAAGACTTACTTAAAGGGTGGCAAGGGGGTGAGAGAGGAACCAGAGGAAAGAAGTAAGATAAGGAAAAATGGAAAAGGAAATTAAAAGGAAGTAGAGAAAATAAAAGAACATAGAAATGCTAGAATAATGGAAGTAGAGTCAGCTTGGAAGTTGGGGAAAGGAGAGATTTACACCTAAATTTATTTACAGACAGATCATGTGTCCTTGAAGAGTGGCAGCAGATGCCGTCTCCCTTTTTCATTCTAGAAGCCTCCACTCTGTTCCATTTAGTGTGGTCACTGACAAATTATATTTACTTACCAACTAAGTAATCCAGCAGCATACGTAGAGGTCTTCCTTCACTGAATTGCCTTAAGGTATGAATTAAAATGTAAACCTGTGAAGTATCAATAAAGCTGACATAAAACTTTTTGTTCCCAAAGATAGAAAGCAAAAAGAGCATGGCCTTGGGGTAATATACTATGCCTAAAGGCTAACCGCGTCTCCTGCCACACATTATATTGGAGTGTTATTACATTTTGTCTATTAAAGGCATAGTGCCCTTGGGATTTTACAGGGTTTTGAACATAAATCCTTCTGCAGCTCGAAAATAGTTGATGCAGAAGTATATACCATGGCTCTAATATTCATGAGTGGGACAAAATACCAAATCATATCTTGAGATGCCTAATGTGAGTGTCAAATTACAGCCTCCACCAAGCAAAAGGGAATGCTAATTAAAAGGGTAGGACATGTTCCAGTTGTTCTAATCAAAGAGAGCTTAATCCTTCCATAAGCTGGCTGGCTTTGTTGGAGGAAATTCTGAACAACCTTGTTACTTTTGATAACTGTAAGCCACTGACTCATGGCCCCTTGACAGCTAGCTGAGCATGTAATAACATTTCTCTGTATTTGGGGACTGGCTTAGCTGGCTTTATAATAGATTATTGTGGATGTTAAAGTGAAATGTTAGTCTTTCTTTAAAGCTCTGTATTCCCCAGTAATTAAGGTTATAAAAAGGGCACTGAGCACAATATAGTTTCAAGGTCGCCAAACACAGATATAACAGCCTTCAGTTTGTGTAAATAAAGTATTAACCATAGGTTTATTTTGCAATTGTGTCATGAAAAATAGGTTTTTCAAGAGCAGTTTGATGGGAAAGTATTTTGAGGTGCATTTATAAATGCTTTTTTTCTCTTTTAGTTCCAAAGAAATTAATGAATAGAAGGGAAAGCAAGTGACATTACAGAAAGGCAAGAAACAGAAAAAGAAAAAAATATATACATATATATATATATATATATATATATATATATATATATATATATATAATTTTGAAAGTTGAAAGCTATCAGTTAAAGAGAAAAAAACAGATACCTGAGCAGAGTTTCATCCCAAAGCATTTGAGGTTATGGATATAACAAGAACCTTGGAGAAATCACCACCTTTGGCATGAAATGTCTACAGAGACCACACAAACAAGGATTTCACTTTCACTTTCAAGGCAGTGACAGTTATTGGCTATTTGTGTTTCCAATTCATTGTAAATGGAAAAAGTTAAAGAAAAAGTTCACCCAAGAGAGCCATTTAACCACTTATTTCAAAGGAAGAAATTGATATAGTTTCACTTAACTTTACAGTTTTGATACTTACTCACCATTTGAATCAGATCCTTATGTTCATCATTAAAATAAACAGAAACGTTACATCGTGTGTTTCATAGGAAATACTTCTTTGTGGTGTTCAATTGCCATATAATTTGAGATGAAAAAAAAAAGAAAGATTTTCTATTTAAGTACTGTAAAGGTAAAACAACTTCCTATAGAGTAAAAAAGTCACACTAATGGTGTAGATTACTATTGCAGAAGGGTCCTCCAGTTGGGAAAGCATAATTTATAGTGTCAGTAAGGCAATCATATTTTCATTCTACCAGATAAGATCAGGGCAGGTACTCCCCAAGGAGCGAGCCTCTTTGCTTCAATTTTAAACTGATGAAAGGGAGGATGTGCAATGCTTTATAGTGCAGACAAAAATGTCACATCAGTAATTGCTATGCAGGTGCGTAAGTACATGCCAAATAAAACCATAAATTATATTTCTCATGCATTAGGCGTTAATTGTGTCAGTAGTTAAAAGAACAATTACCACATAATATGTACCTTTTTAAAAGATAGAAATACTCAGGAAATCATTCGGATAACCTTTTGTGAAGAATTAAGACTTCCTTTGAAGGTATTTTACATTTTTGTGCCTATCTTCTAAGCAGAAATCTTTATTTTAGTCAAATTCCTGCCATCAAATGCCACATATAATATATCGAAGGCTTCCAAAATGTATCAAATAAAACTATAATTAGGGATATAATGAATTCATTTGAAGTTACATGGTAGAATAAAATGAAGCTTGCATAATTTTCAGGAAATTAAAGCCATCGTAGACATCACCAGCCCCTTTCTCTCTCCCCACACAAATTTACTCAGTTCCTCCTTTAGAAGAGACAAGAATTTCAATAGCTGTGTACCTCACACCTGTAAACCTGGTAACCTTGTTTGGGTTGCTCCTCCCATCTGCTCTTTCCTAGGCACAATTTCTCTCCCACATTCACCCAGTCTTTGCCAACCAGAGCCCTTTTCTGGTATTGTTCAAACACAACTTAGGGAGAAGTGTCTTGTTCCTCTCTGGCCATAAGGCAATGAGGATACAAGCACTGGGCTGGTAATGCTGAGGTTTAAGTATTGCTGAGAAATGAATGCCCAGAGGAAAGCAAAGACAAGAGCAAACAATGGGAAACTGGTGGTATTAAAGTTTCCAACATCCTTAAGGGCATATCTACCACTGACTTTTCTGGAGTTGAGTTTGGTGCACTAATTACCAACTCCTTTTGGTTTATGATACTTTGGGTTTTTTATACCCACAAACAAAGGAAATGTGGGAAACACATCTGTGTTCCCATTGGACTTTGTTGTTGTTGTTAAGCTATTTTATATGAATTGCCTAAGATGCCTAGAACTTGCATTTGAATATGACTTAACCATTTCCCAGATAGATCTCAGTCAAGTGTCTAAACTTCTCTGTGATTCAGTCCCCTTATATTAAATTAGGTAATAAGTATACCTGACTCATGGGAATGTTATGAAGAGAAATGAGTTAATATATGTAAAGAACTTAGACCAGTAGCTGGCACAAGATAATTACAACAATAATAAAATAATATTAGGTTTTATCAAGGCCACTTAAATTGATTATGACTTTTAATCATAACAAAAATCCATATCAGTTGTTTTCAGTGTTGTCACTTCACAGATAAGAACACTGATTACAGACAGTCATAGTCCTGGCACTGAATTCCAGGTTTCTTTGAATCTGATTATTGTGTTCTTTCCCTTTTATGAGGCTACCTCTCATAATGTTAATATGAAACTCATTTCATTATATTATTGTTTATTATATAAAAGTCCATTTCTTCTGCTAGATGATAAATCTTGTGAGGATGGTAACTATACTAAATTCATTTTGCTAAACGAAGTACTTAGCAATGTACTTGTTCTTCTTCCCTCTCCCCCAACACTTTTCCTTCCTTCTCTTCTGTCCTCCCTTTCCCAGGTCAAATACCTATGCCAAAGGGTCATACAATCTACTGGAAATGATTTGGACTCAGTCTCCTGGCTCCCAAAGTTTCCTTACCTCCACAGAATATTGTCACCCAAACAAAAAACATATTTGCTTATTTTCCCGTGACCTGAGACTGCCCCCTACTTAACTCTCACAGGTGCTCTTTCATGAGGTGATCTCTTCTCACTGGTCTGGATTTTGTATGGAGTCTCTGCTATAACTCAGCTTTGCATCTATAGCTCATTTCTCTCCAATCTTCATTGCCCTTGATATGTTCCACAAAGATCACCTTGCCTTTGATTCTAAATTCCCAGCAAAGAACTACTATGAATCTCTACTGTGGACCTGTTATACTTGATTACTAATGACTGATCACTTCCACTGTCAAGCTGTATTCCTTCCTGCTAGCCCCAAGATGACACTTCCTGCTCCAGAGAGCAAATCCTCTCCCTAACACACAGCACTACACATACCTCAGAAGGCCATGTTTTTGTCACAAAGCCATGAATTCATAACACATGTAAAGCTAGAAGTGTTGAGGTCAAAGACGGCTCAGTAATATAAAGCCAACATGTTTCTCAAAGGCTGAGGAAAAGCCTAGAAAGTTGCCAGTGACAATTTATAAGTGTCAGATCACTTACAATTGTACTCAGTAAAGGTGGCTTAGATTGTAGGACATTCTCCTTTACTTTTATCATATACTTTTAGGAATATCTTTTCACCAAACCAACTTTCCTAGTGTTTGCAACATCTTTCCAGTTAGCATGTATGATGTGTTGAAACATCTATTATCTAGTACTCTGAAATTTCTCTAAATTTCTCTAAACTCTAAATGTCTTTTAGTCAAGTTGTATATTTATTTGTAAAAATATATTTACTTATAACAAAAAAAGCTAAAATATGTGCTAGACAGGGGCACCTGGGTGGCTCAGTTGGCTGAACGTTTGCCTTTGGCTCGGATCATGATCTCATTATTCATGGGTTTGAGCCCTGCATCAGGCTGTGTGCTGACAGCTTGGAGCCTGGAGCCTGCTTTGAATTCTGTGTCTCCCTCTCTCTCCCTGCTCCTCCCCTGCTCACACTCTGTCTCTCTCTCTCTCTCTCAAAAATAATTAAACATTAATAAAATTTTTAAAAATAATAAAATATCTGCTAGACAATAACAGACCAAAGTAAATAGCCTCAGAGCATCCAGAAAATTACCTAATTCATTTTAACTTATGAAATTTGGAAATATCTTTAAGAGTTTAACTAATACATTTTTTTCACTGTAACATTGTGGCTATCATCATCACAGTGGAATACCCCAAAAGTGGTAGGTTAGAAACATGTAAATAGAAACGATGTACCCTTTCTCAATACATTTTAAGTAATAAGGAATAAACACAAATAATATCTAAGTTAGCTTGCTGTAGGACTTCATGATAAACAAGTAACAGAGGACTACTTAGCGACTGCTGGTAGGCGTGTAAATTGGCATAACCAATTTGAAACACTATTTAGCATTACTGCTAAAGATAGACATTCCTATATCCTATGAACTCCAATTCCACTTCTGGCTACACAACAACAAAAAAATTAACACATATGCCAAAGATTGGTGAAAGAATGTAAGTAGCAGCACTATAATACCTCCAAACTGGGAACAACCACAATGGATTATCAGAGTAAATTTTTTTAAAAAATAATAAACTGGAACATAATATACTAGAAAATACTATAAAGTAATGATAACAAAAAAATAAATGCAACATTCAAAAATATAAACATGCTTCACTTATGTAATATTGAGGGAAAAAACGTAGGTCTAAGAAAGAGTATGTACAGTATAGATCTATTTATATAAAGTTCAGACAAAACCAATCTATTTTGTTAAAAGACAGGATAATGATTATCCTTTGGTGGCATGTAGATATTGAAATTGATTACAAAAAATTCTTCTAGAGGATTGATAATAGTTACACGAGTATATTTGCTTTCTGAAAATTCACTGAACTGTGCAATGATGATATCTTCACCTTTCAGGTTTTATGCTATCCTTCAATGAATAGTTTACCTGAATCAGAAAAACAGTCACAAAGTGAAATATTAAAAAAAGGCAACTTCTAAGGGCACCTGGGTGGTTCAGTTGGTTAAGTGGCCGGCTCTTGATTTTGGTTCAGGTCATGATCCATGGTCGTGGGATCAAGCCCTGTGTCAGTATCCAAGCTGAGGGTAGAGCCTGCTTGGGATTCTCTCTCACCCTCTCTCTATGCCCCTCCCCCGCTTGCATGGGTGCACTCTCTCTCAAAATAGGTAAATAAACTTTTTGAAAAAATTAAAAATGGCAACTTCTACATGAGTTTACAGAAGAGTTCACTTAATCCCTGAGAAGTCGAGCAAGGGCTTGTGGAAAATATGAAGATTAAATGGAGTCTTGAAAAAAGTATAGGAGTAATTCCCTGTAATTCATCTCGATAGTAGTACCTGTTAGAATGCAGTTTAACTAAAAATAACACAGCAAAAAGAAAAAAAAAAAAGAAAAAAAAGAAAAAAAGAGCAAATGAATCAGCATAGTTTAAGTAAGATAAAAATGTATTTCTCTCTCATTAAAGAAGAAATTGAGAGATTGAGTCCAAGTGAGGTATGGCATATCCAACATGTTTGCCAGATACCAGCTCCCATCTTGGTTGTATCACGATGTACAATGCTGGTGTATGGCTGGATTTCCAGATTCCTCGTGCTCCAATATGACTGCTGGAAATACAGCTCTCAGAGTCTTGATGCTGAGTGGGCAAAGGAAGCAAAACAGAAGGAAAAAAATGGACTCTTCAGTTGAATAATTTCCCTTTAAACCTTTGTCTAATGGGAG